TAGAAGGATCTCAATTTGAGGCAGCGGAGGTGGTTGGAGTTGCTTAAGGATTATGATATCACTATATTGTACCATCCAGGGAAGGCCAATGTGGTGGCTGATGCTTTGAGACAAAATGCGGTGAGTATGGGGAGTTTGGCATATATTCTAGTTGGGGAGAGACCTCTTGCGGTTGATGTTCAGGCCTTGGCCAATCGGTTCATGAGGTTAGATGTTTCGAAGCCCAGTCGGGTATTTGCTTGCGTGGTTTCTCGGTCTTCCTTATATGATTGCATCAGAGAGCACCAGTATGATGATCCGCATTTGCTTGTCCTTAAGGACAGGGTTCAGCATGATGATGCCAGAGATGTGACTATAGGTGATGATGGGGTGTTGAGGATGCAGGGCTGGATTTGTGTGCCCAATGTAGGTGGGCTTCGGGAGTTGATTCTGGAGGAGGCCCATAGCTCGCGATATTCCATTCATCCGGGTGCCGCAAAGATGTATCAGGATTTGAGGCAACATTATTGGTGGAGAAGAATGAAGAAAGACATTGTGGGATTTGTAACTCGGTGTCTCAATTGTTAGCGGGTGAAATATGAGCATCAGAGATCGGGTGGCTTGCTTCAGCAGATGGATATTCCCGAGTGAAAGTGGGAGAGGATCACTATGGACTTTGTTGTTGGACTTCCACGGACTATGAGGAAGTTCAGTGTTATTTGGGTGATTGTGGATCGGCTAACCAAGTCCACGCACTTCATTCCTGTATGTACTACTCATTCTTCAGAGTGGTTGGCAAAGATCTATATCCGGGAGATTGTTCGGTTGTATAGTGTCCCAGTTTTCATCATTTCAGATAGGGGCACTCAGTTTACTTTGCAGTTTTGGAGGTCTGTGCAGCGAGAGTTGGGTAATTAGGTTGAGTTGAGCATAGCTTTTCACCCTCAGACGGACGGGCAGTCCGAGTGCACTATTCAGATATTGGAGGACATGTTGCGTGCTTGTGTCATTGATTTCGGAGGGTCTTAGGATCAGTTTCTACTGCTTGCAGAGTTTGCTTATAACAGCAGTTACCAGTCGAGTATTCGGATGGCTCCGTATAAGGCTTTGTATGGGAGGTGGTGTAGATCTCTAGTTGGTTGGTTCGAGCCCGGTAAGGCTAGGCTATTGGGGACAGACCTGGTGCAGGATGCTTTAGAAAAGGTGAAGGTAATTCAGGTGAGGCTTCGTATAGGGTTGGTCGAATCGAGTTTGGAAAGGATTTGGTAAGGTTTGAGACACTTAACCTCTTTATTGGGTTATCCGTTCGGGCCATGGGTTGCCCAATTTCTTAACGGGTTAACCGATAACCCAATAAGATTTAATAAAATTAGGATTTTACCCAATTTCTAGGGCTTCATTCTCTCTTTTTCTCTTAATTTTCTCAGTCGCATTCAAGATTGAAGTTTTAATGTTCACTCTTCAGACTCTGATTCAATTTTTGAACGGTTCTTCTTCAAATTTCAATGTACAACCACATTCTTAGAATCTTAGCGTAAATTTGAATTCCAAATTTACTTCTTTATTAAGAACAAATTTTGTTCCTTTCTTTTGAGTTTTACAGTAGAGTTCGATAATAAAAATATAGGATTTTTGATTGTTTTTTATTCTTTATTTTGTGCTCATGTTTTAGTACTATGTTTGTACTTTTTAATTTTAAGGTGAAATTGCTACTACTTTGTATTCTTATTAATGTATTTGGATTGTTGAAGAATTAATACTATTTTAGTTGTGTTTGGACAACTTTTGAATTACTAGTACTCTTATTGCTTTTGCTACCATTGGACTCTGGAAAATGATTGATCTCTTGATTATAGTTTGGTAGGAACCCAAAAAATTATAATTTATGTTCCTGTTAACTAATATTTCCACTGAAATGGAGATGGAATGCTTGAGGAGTTGTAGTATCAATTTTTGAGATTGCACAGGTCATGAATTTGTCAAAATGAAACATTCTTCAAATATTAGTTGTGGCTAGAACGTAGAATTGGGTAGTATACTATTGGAGTGTTTGGCAAAAAAAAAACAGCTTAAAAAAAGTTAAAAAGGCTTTAAAAAAGCTAAAAGCCACAAGTTAGGATATCCTAACTTCCCCGTTTTTTGCCTAAAAGCCATCTTATTTTGACCAACGAAATTACTTACTTGTCCCTTATAACTTTTACTAATCCCAAAACTACCCTCGTCAAATAAATCCTAAAATATCCAACTACTCCCACTTTCTGTTCATCTTCTTTCCTCTTCTTCTCCTTCATCTTCGACGGTAAGTTTGTTCTTCTCCTTCATCTTCGACACTTTCTGTTCTTCTTTACCAAACTACTCCCAAACTTTCCGTGTTCTTCATCCTAAAATATCCAACTACTCCCAAACATGATTTTAAGGCTTTACATTTTAAAAAATATGGTAACAATCTTTTTGCAAGTTTTATGTTTGGTCATGATCAGCTTATAGAAATCGAGGTTTGGCAGATTGTTACATAATAAGCAAGAGGAAGATGTAGGTTTTTGATTTGTTTTATGCGATATTTTTGTCTTTTTAATAGAAAAAAGTGCTTACCAGCACTTATTTACCAAACACTTCATTAACTTTTTTTAAGTTTCAGCACTTTTATCCAAACAGTTAATTGCTTATTTATAAAACAAGCTCCAGCACTTAAAAGTTGCTTTTAAGCACTTGTGCTTAAAAGCTATTTTTTTAAAGTCAATCCAAACGGGCTCTATATGTGAATTCTTCTCTTTTTTGCTTAACTCGAGTGAATTGTCTTCTCTTTTTTGCTTAACTCTAGATTGAGTTATCTTATCAGGTAAACCGATAACCGAACCGGTAATGATCGACAACCGATTAACCGATAATCAATAACTAATATCTTATCGGTTTGGTTATCGGTTTATCATATTTATAAATCGATAACCGATATGCTAAACCGATAATATTCATAACCGAACCTAACCGACCGATGCCCACCCTTATTTATTTCTTCCATTGTTGGTCGTTTTGGAGCTATTTAAAAGAGATTGAAGAGGGATTCAAGGGGAATCACTTTGAGGTAAGAATTTTGGACTTAAAACTCAATTCTAATGTGAAATCTACCTAATAAATCATGGAATCTAAGCCTAAAATTGAGGAATTAGGGCTTGAGATTAAGAGACTTTAGAATGAGAATTTTAAGGGTCATTTGGACTCTGATTTCAGTGTTCTTGGTATGTATGGACTCGTGGGAGGATAAGGATTCCGTTGATATGATTTTTATCGAGTTTCAAGACATGGGTCCGGGGGTCGGGTTTGGCCAATTTCGGGATTTTTGGTATAATTTGATTATTTTCGTTTGGGCTTCGTTCCCTTAGCATATTTTGACGTCGTGATTCTGATTTTGGATAGATTTGATGCGATTGGAGGCCGATTCGAGGGGCAAAGGCATCGCGGAGTAGTATTTTCACCGGTTTTAGGTAAGTAACCGTTGTAAATCTGGAACTGAGGGTACAAACCCCGGTATTTGACTTGTTTTGATAAATGCGGTGACGCACATGCTAGGTGACGAGCGCGTGGGCGTGTACCGGTAGGGATTGTGACTTGGTCCGTCCTGTAGCGACTATTAGGCCGCGTATTTGATTTGGAATCTTATATTATTCCGTATTTTAGTCATTTATACTGTATTATGGGTTGTATGCCATGTTTGGGGCCTTGTGCCGACCTGTTGAGACCCTTAGGGGTATTTTTACTATTTTTCCTAACTTTACTTGTTAAAAGCATATCCTTAGTCACGTTTTACCTGTTTAAATGTTTAAAACTGGTTTATCCCTCCACTTCTAAATGTGAGGACTGTTCGGACTAAGTTCCCTAATTTCTACTGTTGTGCCCGAGAGGCTGTGAGGTTAATGACTGAGAGAGGTTGAGAACCTAATGGTGAGGATATGTATAAATGTGTGAGTTATGGATCGGGTTACACGCCGCAGCGATACTTATATGGATCGGGCTGCACGCCTCAGCGATATATATATATATATTGGATCGGGCTGCGCGCCGCAACGATATGAAGCTTAGGTTGTAGGAGCCTCTCCGGAGTCTGTACACCCCTAGTGAGCGTAGTTGACTATAAATTATGGATCGGGCTGCACGGAACAACGGTTACTATGATTTCTATTATTATGAGATATTAATGAGTCTGAGTGCTGAGAGTGAGTACTGAGTGACGAGAGTGAGTCACGAGTGACTGAGAGACTACCGGAGAGGCCATATTCTGAGTGATACCTTACCCGAGGGGCCCAGTTATGATATTTTCACTGATTTCACTCTTCTTTTAAAAACAAGCCTCTGTTGGAAAAATTGCTAAGTATATGATTTCAAGTGTTTAAACTGAAGTTGATAATTCTACGATGAAACTGGTTTTAAACTGTGAAATGGATTTGTTATCCTGTTGTTTATTCAATTATATGATTTTTAACTGCTCGTCACTGCTTTCAGACCTTATTTACTCTAGTTACTTACTGAGTTGGCGTACTCACTGTACTCCCTGCACCTTGTGTGCAGATCCAGGTGCCCGAGTGTCAGAGTGAGGGTCCTCAGCTGATCTAGAGGTTGCCGGAGATTTCAAGGTAGCTGTATGGCATCCGCAACCCTTATTTCTCCTTCCTATCTTGTTCTTTTTTATATTTTCTAGACTTATGTTGTATCAGAAAGTCAGTTATGTAGTGGAGGCTCTAGACTCGTGACACCAGATATTTGGGGCTGTGTAGTTCATGTTTATTTGACTCCCGCTTATATTTTGTTGTTTTTAAACACTTATTATGGAAATTTGGTATTTAAACCTGTGTTAGAAAAATGGTTTTATAAAAGGAATTTGTTGTAGTTAATGATTTGGGTTGGCTTGCCTAGTAATGTGATAGGCGCCATCACGACCGAATATTTGGGGTTGTGACAATTTCAAGTACTATAAAATCTACAGGGAAAACAAACTTATTTACTCTTACGAGCACATTTTCAATTAGTCACTTAGGTTTCTTAGTACTTTGATCTGCAAACTGAAGAGAAACACCTATGTCTTTCATTTTACCAAGATTTAATTTTCTAAAGATAGAAAATGGTATCAAGTTAATTGAAGCTCCAGAATCACAAAGTGCATGGAATGTAAAACTACCTGGATCACCAAGTTTTTGTGGTAGCTTATTTTGAAGTATAGCACTGCATTTTTCAGTAAGCACCACCACAGAAACTTCTTCCAATTTCCTTTTACTTGACAAAAATTCTTTTAAGAATTTGGCATAAGAAGGCATTTGCAACAAAGCATCAGTGAAAGGAATATTAATGTGGATTTGTTTTAAAATCTCCAAAAACTTTGAAAATTGATTATCAAGATTTTCTCTTTTCAGTTTTTGTGGAAAAGGAATTGTCACAGGGAAAGGAGTCAATTTTTCAATATTATTTTCTTCTTTTTTCTTGACTTCTTTCTCTTCAGATAGTTCAGAGGGTATTTCAACATTCTTACCCTTGTTTACCTGTTGTTCTGACTTGTCTGCATATGGTTCATCAAGCTCCTTACCTGACCGTAAGGCGATGGCCTTAAGGTGCTCCTTTGGATTTTTCTCCGTATTGCTTGGCAAGGGACCTTGAATCTTTTCTGACACAAGAGTTGCCAGTTTACTTAATTGCATTTCCAGATTTTTGAGGGCTGAACCCTGGCTTTTCATCTTTTCATCAGTGACCTTATTGAATTTATACAAAAGGTCATCAAAATTTGAATGAGCTTATTGAGGCCTTTGTTATGGCCCTGCTTGTTGATAAGGTCTATAGTTTGGTTGCCTACGGTTCTGATTCTGGTATCCCGATAGACCTTGTACTTGTTGCTTCTGGAAGCTTTGAGAGTTTTCTGCACCATTTGGATTGCTCCATTGAAATCCTGGGTGCTTTTGTGCTATTGGACTGCCAAAAGGGTACAGTTTATAACTGACAGAATGGACATGTTCGTCATTATGATTGTTTGCTTAACATTTATGGATCAGATGGTTTCCTCCACACATATCACAAGATTCAAATAGGCTTGGTTGTTGTGTATACACCTGAAAAGATTCAAACTTTTATGCCAAAGAAACAATTTGCTGCGTTAGTGTATTTAAAGCATCAACCTGATTTACCGTAGCAGCCTTCTTGATGATTACACGGTCAGATGGCCATTGGATGGCATTCCCAGAAATCTCGTTCAATAATTGCAATGCTTCCTCCGTGGTTTTTCCCATTACAGAACCTCCTACAGCTGCATCAATCACATTTCTAGCAGAGGGATTTAACCCATGATAAAAAAATATACAGTTGCATGTGTTCAAGAATGTCATGGTGTGGACATTTTCTTAACATTACTTTTAATCTTTCCCAAGCTTGATAAACTGACTCAGTATCAGTCTACAAGAAATTAGAGATGTCTTATCTTAACTTTGTGGTTTTAGCAGGGGAAAAATTTTTGTTTAAAAATTTCTAAGTCATTTGGTCCCATGTGGTAATGGAACGTTGTGGCAAACTTTGCAACCAAGTCTTGGCATCTCCTTTTAAATAAAAAGGAAATAACCTTAACTTGATAGCTTCAGGATGTACTCCATTATACTTAGCTGTTTCAACAAGTTCCAGAAAGTCAATTAAATGACTGTGTGGATCTTCACTTGCGTCTCTAGTAAAGATACAAGACTGTTGAATTGTTTGAATCAGGCCAGTCCTGATTTCAAAGTTGTTGGCTGCCAGTGGCGGTTTTCTGACACTAGATTCACAGTTGAAGCGGTCAGGTCTAGCATAATCCCTTATGATTCTATTTGCTGGCCTTGGTGCTACTTCATCAAACTGATCCTCCACATGGACTGGTGGTTGAATGTCTTCTACTCCCTGATTCTCCATTCTAACCCGGCTGGGCTCCGAAAGATCCAATCTCACAAACTGGCTGGCTAAGGCTTGAACATCCATCGTCATAGGCCTCTCTGATGCTGGTAAATAAGTCAAACTCCCCAGACTCTCTGCCCAGTGACTCAAGGCATCGACCACCACATTGGCCTTGCTCGGGTGATACAAAATAGTGATATCATAGTCCTTCAGCAACTCTAACCACCTCTTCTGGCGCAAATTTAGATCCTTTTGCTTGAACAAGTATTGCAAGCTCCGATGGTCAGTATAAATCTCACAAGGCACACCGTATAAATAATAACGCCAGATCTTCAGGGCGTGAACAATGGCAGCTAACTCAAGGTCGTGGATCGGATAATTTTTCTCATGTACCTTCAACTGTTTGGATGCGTAGGCAATCACCCTACCGTCCTGCATCAACACCGCTCCGAGGCCAATCATCGAGGCATCACAATAAACCGTATAAGACCCCGAACTTGTAGGCAGTATCAAAATTGGGGTTGTAGTCAAAGCTGTCTTGAGCTTCTGAAAGCTCGCCTCACACTACTCCGTCCACTGGAACGGAGCACCCTTCTGGGTCAACCTGGTCATAGGGGCTACAATTGATGAAAACCCCTCCACAAAATGATGGTAGTAACCCGCCAAGCTAAGGAAATTGCAGATCTCTGCAGCTGAGGATGGCCTGGGCCAACTCTGCACGGCCTCTATTTTCTTCGTATCCACTTGAATACCCTCACTCGATACCACGTGGCCTAAGAATGCCACTGAATCCAACCAAAACTCACATTTCGAGAACTTAGCATTTAACTTCTTCTCTCTCAGAGTCTGAAGCATAGTCCTCAGGTGCTACTCATGATCTTTCCGACTCTGGGAATACACCAGAATATCATCAATAAAGACAATGACGAACGAGTCAAGATACGGCCGAAACACACTATGCATCAAGTGCATAAAGCTACTGGGGCATTGGTCGGCCCAAATGACATGACAAGGAACTCGTAATGACCATACCGAGTCCTGAAAGCAGTCTTCAGGATATCTGGCTCCTGAATCTTCAATTGATGGTAACTTGAGCGCAAGTCAATCTTAGAAAACACCCGTGCGCCCTGAAGCTAGTCAAACAGATTATCAATATGAGGCAAAGGATAACGGTTCTTCACTGGAACCTTGTTCAGCTGGCGACAATCGATACACATACGCATAAGAACCATCCTTTTTCTTCACAAACAAGACAGGAACACCCCAAGGCGATACACTAGGCCGAATAAAACCCTTATCAAGCAAATCCTATAACTGATCATTCAACTCCTTCAACTCAAGAGGAGTCATACGATACGGAGGAATAGAAATGGGCTGAGTGCTCGGCAACAGATCAATGCCAAAATCAATATCTCTATCAGGCGACATTCCCATAAGATCAGCTGGAAACACATCGGGAAAATCCCGTACTACTAAAACAGAATCAACTGAAGGGATATCAATACTGACATCTCTCACATAAGCCAAATACGCGTCACACCCCTTCTCAACCATACGTTGAGCTTTAAGAAAAGAAATAACTCTACTGGGAGTGTGATCTAAAGTACCCCTCCACTCAACTTGCGGTACACCCAGACATAGGCGTCACGATTTTTGGCATGACAATCAAGGATAGCATAATGAGGCGACAACTAGTCCATGCCCAAGATAATGTCAAAATCTACCATGCTGAGCAACAATAAATCGGCTCTGGTCTCAAAACCACTAAGAGCAACCAAACACGACCGATAAATGCGGTGCACAATAAGAGAATCCCCCACATGAGTAGAAACATAAACAAGGGAACTCAAAGAATCCCGAGATACACCCAAATGTGGAGCAAAATAAGAAGACACATAAGAATAAGTGGAGCCTGGATCGAATAGAACCGATGCATCTCTGTGACAGACCAATATAATACCTGTGATGATAGAATCGGAGGCAACAACCTCGGTATAGGCAGGAAGGGCATAGTATCTGGCCTGACCTCCACCTCTAGGGCGACCTCCGCCTCTAGCTAGCTGAGTAGGTGGGGTAGCAACTGGAGCTGTAACCATGGCCTGAGAACTCTATTGGGCACGATGTGGCTGAAAAGTTTGTGGAGGTGCACCCCTCCCAAGTCTAGAGCAATCCCTCACCATATGGCGTGTGTCACCACACTCAAAACAAGCTCTGGGAGGACGTGGAGCATGCTGTACATAATTCAGGTAAGGCAGTTTGAGCAAGTAAAGCAATTAAGTCACTTAGACATGCTTTCCTAAGTTAACAACAGGCTTAATGATGCAAGTAATAAAAACAGGAAAGAGAACATACTAGTAATTACTTAATGAAAATCGGATTTCCAACAATTAGCACAGGTACGCACTCGTCACCTCACGTACAAGGCATTTCAATTACCAAATATACCAAATCCTAAGGGGAAGGTCCCCCACACAAGGTTATACAAGTCACTTACCTCGAATCGGCTCAATAATCAATTCGAAACCACGCTCTTGCCTCGAGTACTCGACTCCAAATGGCCCAAATCTATTCAATTCAAATGCATAATGTAAATACCACTTCAAGTAACTGATTCTACAATTAAATTCTAAGCTAATACGCGAAATTTGGTAAAATGACCAAAACGCCCCCGGGCCCACATCTCGAAATCGGGTAAAATTTATATTTTCAGAACCTCATACTCTCACGAGTTCATGCATACCAAAATTATCCAAATCTAAGGTCAAATTCCTACTCAAAAGTCGAATTTTAGGTTTAAGAACTTTCTTCCAACTTTTCCCCAATTTTCATCTCCAATCCGAAATCAAATGATAAAACTAACTATAGATTGATGGAATATAACTAGAAAGGGTTAAAGAATTGTTACCTAATGATCTCCTCTTCAATTTTCTCTCAAAATCACCCTTTCCCGAGCTCCAAATCGAATTTCCAACTTTTGAAACTAAACCCTCAAAATTTCCTATTTCTGCCCAGCTGTTACCGCATCTGCGGTCCCGCTTTTGCGGAACAAGCGTCGCATCTGCGACTTCTCACTTAAAGCCAGCTTCCGCATTGCGACTCCCCGTCCGCAGATGCGGTACCGCTCCTGCAGAGAACCTACCGCTTCTGCGGCTCCTGCTTGACCTCTCCCATTCTGCTTTTGCGACCACAGAGCCGCTTCTAAGGCGCCGCACCTGCGGGACCCAAACTGCAGGTGCAGTTATGACAGAAAATCAGTTGAAGCGGCAACTTTAAAACTATAAAATTCTTCCGTCAACCATCCGAAATCATCCCGAGGCCCCTCGAACCTCAACCAAACCTACCAACATATCCCACAACTTCATTCAAACTTGTTCCAACCTTCGAAACGCTCAAAACAATATCAAAACTATTTTTCATCGGATTCAAGCCTAAGAATCCCAAAAATTCTAAAAATACGCTTTCGATCAAAAAATCTATCAAACCTTGTCCGAATGACCTGAAATTTTGCACACACGTCACATTCAACACTACAGAGCTATTCCAACTTCCAGAAATTCTATTCCGACCCTCAGATCAAAATCTCACTATCGAACCGGAAAATTCAAAATTCGACCTTTCGGCATTTCAAGCTTAAATTAGCTATGGATCTCCAAAACACAATCCGAACACGCCCCTAAGCCCGAAATCACCCAATGGAGCTAACAGAACCATCGGTTTTCCATTCCGAGGCCGTCTTCACACTGTTCCGATTACGGTCAATTTTTCAATACGTAAGCTCTCATTTAGGGACTAAGTGTCCCAAAATTCTCCGAAACTCGAAACCGAA